CGCCCTCCTAACCACTGGCGCCCTCCTGTTGATCGCCGCCCTCCTATCCACTGGCACCTTCCTGTTAAATCGGCGCCCTCCTCACAGACGCCCTCCTGTTCAATGTCATCCTCTTGGGCAAAGGCGCCCTCCTCACCACTGCCACCCTCCTGTTAATCCTCACCCTTCCACTCATTGGCGACTTCCTGTTGATGACCGCCCTCCTACCCATTGGCGACCTCTTGTTGATCGCCACCTTCCTATCTATTGGTGCTCTCCTGTTCCTAGCCGCCCTCTCACCCATGGTGGCACCCTCCTGTTGATTGTTGATCGGAGCCTTCTTACCTATTGGCGCCCCCCTTTTGATCGCCGCCCTTCTACCCATTGGCGTCCAAGTTTCGGTGATTGAAGGTGCTCAACACTGTATGCATCTGTGAGAAGGTCATGAGGGCTGGTCGAGGTAATTTGGATGAGAAGCCCGAGAAGTCTAATCGATCTCATGAGGAACAGCCCTGTTATGGTTTCTCTTTCTGTTGTTGCCGCCTTCTCGTTGTGCGCTTGTGTTTACGCACCTCGCGCTCCGGTATCAATCCGATATGGTGATCTGGTGTGTATATGCCACCGCCAATAAACTTTTCTACATCGTCACCCATGGGCGAGGCTTTCTATACAGCTTGTGTGGCACCGGCCCCACCAAACCTTAGGTATTTTTTACACCTTCAAATTTGGTAAAAGAGCGGGAAGAGCTTTGAACAGTGAGCACGCAAAAGATGTGTCTAAAAAGCGGAGGAAAAGGTTTTTTCAAAAATTTCGCGCGCCTTCGGCGCAGCATTTCACAAACTCTTCTTTACTAGGAACTTAGTACCTATGCCAATAACTTGCAACCTTTTTGTCACGTGTGAGATGAACCCGCGCCAGGTAGTTTCTTCAGACATGCGGTTAAAAAAGATCCGAAAAAGGTGCCACTACGTTACGAGCTTCCGTTTTTTTTCCTGGGGGAGAGAGGGAAGTGGGTGAGCGGGAGGGGCACACCTTTTGGTACATTGCTCTTACACGTGCTCTAAAAATGCAAACCATAGTCGCTAAAAGCAAGGTCATCAGGTCATGTCAAGTGATCTAACTTAAAAAAAAGTTTTAAGCATTGTCACTTAGGCTGAGCGGGTGACCTGACCTTTTTGGCCTGGAGTAAAAACAAAATACACACCATGCCAAATCAATGCAGCATAACCTATATACCAAGTCACGCAAAAAGAAACTGGTGGCGTGGTAAAAACGCCTCCCCCCCCCCCCCCCCGATGAGCGGATTTTTATCTCGCGACCGTATGGCGCCCTCCTGGGGTGAGGTGGCGCCCTCCAAACCCTTGGCCCCCCCCCCCCTTCGCGATTTTCTAAATACGCCGCTGGAGTGGGTGTTCAGAGCTGGCGGCTGTCCCTGACTCTGCAGTGCAGGTGAACCCAGCTGGCAACAACGCCTGCCCCGCAGCCCGGGGCGACTGGACGGCCAGGCGCAGCGCCTACACACCCCGGCCCTAGACGGGCTCGCCGCGGCATCAGTGGGCCTCGAAGGCCAGACATCGAGCACCCAGCCGCCATCAACGCGTCATCGGCTCGGTAGGGAGCGAGGGCGTTGGCGACGGGATGGGGCGGCGCGTGTCGTGTAGGTGTGCTCTGGCCGTTGGCGACGCTCTACACCCACACAACACGCGGTCGCCAGCCGCTCAACACCTGATGGCACGATAGGTCGGCCGGTTGCGTCAGACGATCCAGGCCTGCCAGAATAGGCGAGTCGCCGTCGCTACCTGCCGCTTCTCGGTAGCCATGCGTCGCTGATGGCTGGATGACGGGTGTGTTGTCACGGTGGTCGACCTGGGAGGACGATATGAAATGTGGTGGTGATGAGACAGCCAGCTCCTCTTCTCTGGACAGACCGTTCGTCAAAAAGGCGTGCGCTCGGCGGGCATAACTCTGTCGTCAAAGGAATCTCGGGACGGCTGCATAAAAATACGGAGGTTGTGAATAACGAACGCAAAAATAAGTTGATTTGTTGGTTGTTTATCGAACGGCGGGGCTCGCCAAGATGTCCAGAAATACGTCTCGGCCGCCCGCTAACTAAAGTGCTCCTGAAATAGCGTCAGGGCGGTGCAGAATCGGTATCTGTTGCAGACTGACGTTGCTGACGTCCTGAAGGGTCGGAGGAGCGTGGAGGCAAGTCGCCAGTCACGCCGTCTGAAGGTCGACCTGTCCCGGGAGACCGATCGTGTGTCGCCGACGAGACTGTTTGGTCGGGCCCGCGCCACCAGACAGGGCCATCGACTTCCTGGGTCTGGCCCTCCTTCCCAGCTGATAGGCGAAGTCAGAGTTAGCATTCCCGGCCACTCTCTCGCATGGTTATTAGCTAAGGTCAGACTGTTGGAGAAGAAAGAGGGGTGAAGATGCAGTAGTACGAAAGCATATAACGTCTCACGAACCATTGCTAGTGCTCTTGCGAGGGTCGGCGATTAGTTGGGCGTGACCATTGCAGTGTTGTTACTGCTGAACATAAACCATTACAATGGAGTCCAACAAAACATTGTTCTCGGAAATGTGAAAGTGGATTTATTACCTGGGCGTTGTCAATATTGTTTCTAGGAACGGTCTACTCTTGCAACTTGTATTTGTCCGCATATACCTTTTTACTCCGTATAAGTACAATGACACCTGATACGAGGCGTTTCTTCATGATGCTCCTTTATCGATGCCCATTATATTTCGTCTTGGCCGGCGATTCGGGCCACCTTTGTCACAATGGCGGCAGCCATGTCTGCGGATAGGCGCGGCCATGTTGTGGCCGGCCGTGCAGCTGTGCATTGCACGCGCGCCGCCGCTGCTGCACCGTCGGCACTAATTACGTATGGCTGGCTGCACCGACCGCTGTCTTTGTAATGGAGAGGCTCGTATGTGTGACGCTCGGCCGCTACTGTGCCGGGCGCGGCGCGGCGAGCACCGGCGCGGCGCGGCGCTGAGTGGCGCGGCGTGGCCACTCCTGCGCGCGCCAGGAGCCGGCAGCTGTTGCAGCAGTAAGAAGCGCGTGCCAAGAAAGGTGACTAGCGCAATGAGAGTTAAATAATGAAATCCATTCGTTTTCTGAGGATGCTTTTACATCCTTCAGACGTCTACGTCGTGCTGTACATGTGAGGATTGTTGGTTCTTCGTAGTCTCAACAAGGATTAGGTATTACACAATTCTCGACATTTTCGCTGAGGTGGATTGAGTCCAGCGACTTCCGAATACATTGGGTGCACTTGATGTGGATCAGAAAGGAAAATGCCAAGGGCGTGGGGCTACCAGGTCCGATGGGCCCCTGGCACGTAAGAGGCATTCAGTACGCGATCGTGAAGTGGCTTCTTTCCTCTGAACGTTGCGTCACCTCCTCCACGCCCTTTCTGCCTACCACGTTTGCCCTTTTCAGGGCTTAGCTCTTTAGTGCCCCACGTGAACCCATAGGAAGGTTTTACTGCGCGTGGGCCTCGCTCGCCTTTCCGGCCACACGCTAACAGTGGCTCACGAACACGAAACAATGAGGATACCCGCGGTCGGCTGTTCGCCGTCACTGTTCGCTGCCGCTCACGGTTCTCGGTTTTGGTGCCGCGACCGGCGCCGCTGGTGGCTGAACGCTGCTCTCAGAGCGTCGGGGTGGTATTTTTTCCGCGGTCCACCGTCGTGATGTTGGTCCTCACCTGCCGCTTCTGCAGGATTACTGAATAGGCTGTTATCTAAGCCCGGGTCTCTTGTCAGCCGTCATGGTGTCAAATACAGTCAGCTGGCTGCTGATCCGCCGGCCTCTGCCTATCGGCCGCGAACGGTGACAGGCTCGGAATGCTTCATTATGGGGCAGGTGCGCCGTGTTGTCCTTCGGGAGGATACATACATTACAGGAGGGTAATGGGCCGGGCGGATGCTCCGTTCGACCGCACCGGGCCTTTTGTGTCACATCGCTCGGCAGTCAGCGCTGCTTTTTATGTAGTTTTTCATCGGCAAGTTTTTGCACCACCTGGATCGAATGCCATCGTGGGTGTAAACATCGCCGTTCGGAGCCCGCTTCTATGTCAACTGCCGTCGGGGGCGACTTCAAACTTTGTGGGCGTGTGTATGTGTGCAGTGCTAGTCTAAACACCGGCAAAAAGGCTGATGTTTGAGGCTGTGCCTGATGCCGTGCCGAGCCGAACCGAGCAAATGTTCTAATGCCGTATTGACGCTGCCGTTTTTAGAGCTGTGTCTCTGGGCTGGAGTGGCTGGCCGGTCGCTCGCTCGCTCGGTCGCCTGGTCGCTCGCTCGCTCGCTCGGTCGGCGGCGCTCTCCGTGGTCTGATTGCTGCGCTGGCCGCTGACGCCGGCGGCGGTGTTGTTTTTGTCGCGTCTGACCTACCTCACCGTCTGATGGCGCCCGCTCGGCCAATAATGACGCCTCTTGGCCGCCGACGCCAAATGAACAACCGTCGGCCGGCCCGACTCCGACTCCGGCTGCGGCTCCGGCTCCGGTCTGGGAGGCCGCCCCAGGCTCGGAGGTGGAGCGCGGAGCAGGCGTTGCTAGCTGCTCTGGGGCTGACTCGGTCGGGCGGTCAGTCTGGAAAGCGGGCCCAGTCTGACTGTCTGCCTGCCTGCCTGTCTGTCTGTCTGTCTGTCTTTCTGTGTCATGATGTCCTGTTCATGAATTAGCTGACTGTACATATGTGCTAATGATGGCTTCATCTCGGACATTGCGTTCTGGAAAGTCTGTAAATATGATCACTGATGTTATAACATTATTTATGTCACCGTCATGGCTACCAGCTTCATGTGGTACCTTGCCTCGGGTGATATTCCACTGATGTAGGCTTATTTGTATCATATTACGTATGCATATGTTTGCGGTCCGCGTAAGGGATATGCCCCACCAAATGAGTATCCATTCAATGCCGCCATTCTGTAGAAGCCATCTCGCCCGGCAGCGGGCGGCTACCAGCTCTGACATGTCACTAACCCGTGTCTCTCTTTGTGTTTCAGGTGGAGACTACATCTGGGGAACGGGTCCGTGCGCACACCGGTGTACAGGTAAGAGCAGGACACATAATGAGCGCTCTGGGAAACGTTGTCCCTAGGCGAGACGCTGTCGTAGTCAGTGCAGGTTAGCTGTAAGCTCGCTGGGCTCAGCTGGCGATGTTGCTCAGTTGATGATGGCTCACGGCTACCAAACAGGTGATGTCACCCCGAGAAACTGCAGGGGGGGGGGGGGGAAGTCGCCGACCTCTCTCTCACCTCCAAACACCAGGTTCGGCCGACCACCGCGGCACAGTTTATGTTGATACCAAACGGCCGGAGGACCTCGCGGCCGTTCCAATCACACCACTTAAACCCGACACGGCCGGGTCGGTTTGTTTGGCCGCTTGTCGGCTGGGCCGTGCTGGGCCGGAGTTACTGAGCCAGTTCGTGTGTTGGTACACTTCAATATTTCACGGTGATTGTCCGGGCCGGTCGTGCCGTGCCGGGCTATTATTCGATTTATTATATATGCAGCGGTCACAAAAGGTCGTCGGCTATCTGGCAACACTGTTGGCGCGCGAGCAAATATGGCAGTAACTGCTGCCAGAGCCTTGGCCGCTTTAGTTTATTTATGGCCCTGCACTTAGGCATTATGCCTGTTACGGCCGCTATGTATTCAATGTTCGAAACTAAATTCCAGTGGCAGATGGGTCATATATGTAAGGGCAGGTGGCAATATAACTTGAAAGTTTGCAGCCTTTCTGCGAAAATGCGTTCTACTTTAATATTGTTATGTCCTGCTACCCAGCCGCTTGCCTGCTGATTTCAGGTCATGCAGCTCGTTTCATTTATTATTTCTTCGTGTTATGTGGAAATGAATGTCGGTGGTAGGCTCAGTCAGCTGAGTAAAGTGCCGTTCAGTCCGATACCCTTCTGTCAATAAGCCAAGGGCATGGATGATCAAACGAAGCACACAAAACGCCAATTACGGCTACCATGTATATTTGATGCGCTGTCTGACTCTGACCTGTGCGCAAATTGACCTGACGGTGGTCCGTCGGCCACGGCAGCTGTTCCAGATACAGAGAAGGAAGCTAGCTTTCCATGGGCAAAATGTGTCACCATGCAGGGATGTAGCTACCAATATGGTGCCAATCACATGGCTCTGAGTGTGGGGAGAGAGCGCTGTTGTTCAAGAAGGCCGTCTGGTAGAGGTGTTCATTGCTCGCTGCTCATGCCGCTTATGTCGCGTCATGAGAGGGCGCCGAGTACAGGGATTTTACAACAGGTAATGTTAGGAAAGGCCTAATCCCGGACGCCACTGCTCCGCGCCAGATCAGATTGGAAGAAGTTGTTCTAAATATAGCTGGCGCCAGAATTCTCCTCACTTGTGATCGTGGACTTCATGACCTCAGTAACCCGAAACGGTGCTATTTATAGCACGGTGTTGCATGTATCACTTTTAGTGGTGTATATCGAGCGTCGTGATGCGCCGCTTTCTAGAACTATCCTGTGTCGCATCAGAGCTGAGCTGTGCATTTGAACAACATTGGTCGGTGTCCTCGTTTCGAGGCGGACAGGGGTCTCCTGACAACAGAGCCCTGGCGTCGAGACGGGCTGACCTGTGACCTTTGTGAACGCGTCGTCGGCAAAGGTGACCCGAAAATTATCGTCTCCGTGGCCGGTGTCCCAGTGATGATATTGTAGAGCTGTTAGTTTGGACTATGTGCGTTTTGCGAATTTCTATATTGTAGGTATTATGTAAGTTGGATTTTGAGCTTAGCAATTCAGTTCAAGATTTTTTAGGGTGACTCAGCCGCCAAAAATAAACTTTTGGCTGGCGTGGCTAGTTTGACTCGTATGACGGCTTCCAAACTTCGCTAGATTTCCCACCGGATTTTCCACTGGAATGTCTTCTAGGCTTTTGGCTCATGGTGCTCTGCTCACTGGAGCATTTCGTGATTGGAGGCTACTTCACTAAAAGGCCTACCTTTATGAAGTTTTTTGAAAAGGTGGCTTCCCATTCGTCCAGCAGGAATGGTTTATCTGCTGGTAGGTCCCCTGGCATAGTCAATGGAATCGTGATGGAGCCTGCCTTATGCACCGTGTTAGACATCGCGCCAACTGTGAGCCATCTCCAGTCACAGGTCGATGGCACTTCGGACAGAACAGCTACACGATGTGCTCCATCCGATCAATGGTGTAACTGAGGTCAGCGTGTATTTATCGGGATGTGGGATGTCGGTTGTTTTCAGCGTGTCGACAGAACGCTGACATATTCTGCACTTTGGAAAGATGTATCATCAGGCTGCCCCTTCAAGACGTGTTCTGGTGAGGCTACCTAATTCGATATGAAAAAGTCTTGCTGCAATCTACCTGGCGTTGTTCTGTGCAGTGCGCCTTAATTTTTCTCGCTAAAAGGGCATTGGGTACGATCGGTGTGTTATTCAGATGTCATTTAGCCATGTCACATATGATATGCTTGACTGGAACTACAGACTTCTTGGTTACTAGCCCATTCAAAATCCGTGGTTGGACATTTAAAAAGAAGAGCGTCTACTGTTCACGCAGGCTGTCCACTGCCATATTTATCCCGTCCCGTTCCATTCTCAATGCTGTCTGTCGCACACGCGTCTCCGAATCGACGTCGGTCACTCGGTAACTTTCCTTTTCAAACAGGTTCTCTTGCAGCCGTCCAGGAAAATCGATCAAACAGCTTGCACGCACGTTGCCAGCTGCAGCCGGCGGTGGCGGTGACGTTTTTTGGCGCTGCTGCGGCTTTTTTGGCACGCCGGCGGCGCTCGGATGACGTGGTGTCACCGAATGTTGGACGCCGTCGCGGCCCCGTCGTGTCCCGTGGTCCTCGGGTGTTTTCCGTTCGGTGGACAAATTCTAGGAACCGGCCGCCAGCCGTCATTGGCGACGGGTGGAGACTGGTGGAAACTTGGCTTACGTGGTAGGGGAGTTTTTTTTTTGTAGGTCATTATCTGACTGTTGATAAACAACTTGGTGGATGTTTGAACGAAACGCTGCATTGCCAACTTTGTATCATTGCTTTTACTATCTATCGTAGGTTCAATTGCAAAACATGTTGCACCTATCTTGTCCCCATTTCTCTGGTCGTTTCATATGCTTTTTTCTAAACCCTTCTCTCTCCCCCAATCCGAGATTCATTCGTTCATCTTTCCTAATTCCCAGACCCTGCTTCACGTCATAAAAGACCGGAGACCCTGCTCCTCCACAGAGCAGGGTCTTTGCCCCTCCTGTCGTCTTCCTCGACCACAGTTTGTCATTTGTCATCTTTCCCACCACAGAGTCTGTCCTGCTGTGTATCTGTCTCTGCGGTCGGTCGGGTCACCGGAAGCGGCGTCAGTCTGGTGTAAAAAGTCGCCGTTCTGGAGACGCGCTGGCTGACGACATCGCTCTCTGTCTTGGTGAGGTCCCAACCAGACGCGCTGTTGCTCCTGGGCCAGATGATGTGACGGGGTCGGATGGATGGAGTGGCTGAGGTGGCTATGACTGGCAGACAGAAGTCTGTCTTCGGCTCACCGCTGACCGCATTTGCTAGTTTGCATAAACGAAAATCTGCCAGCACATGTATCCGCGAGTCAGCGATCAGTGGTGGTTGCCCTTTGCCCTGGAGTTCCCGCTCTGGCTTCTGTTGTTGGCTGCACTGTGGACACTGGACAGCATTTGGTGTCAGAAATTGCTTACGTCGCTTTGCTGTTTTCTGAATGAAATCCCAATGACTTAAGGTCAGATATGGAATAAGCCAGCCCCAGGCCTCGATGATGTAGATTGTGAAGAGACCGTGCTCTACTTATTTATTTTGCATGCCGTTCCTCGGCGTTTTCAGGTAGTTGCTATCACACTCACAGTTTTCCGCCACTCCTGACGAAGCATGATGGGGATCTGATACCACTCGCTGAAGCCTTCAACATGGTCTTAACAACTTCTTCAACATGGTGTGTTACTCACCTTCCACTCAAATCCAGAGTCCAGAAAGCCCAGTCTACTCCCACTCTTCACCAATCGGATGGGAAGATCAGACCAGCAGTCTGTTCTGTAGAATGCAGCCCGTTCCAATCTAAGGCTGTCATTCCAAATCCAACCCATCCTACCCCGAAGGTAACTCAACTTCAGTCTGTGCCTTCGAGTCGCTGTCAACGATACACATTGTTATTTCTGGATCTGGAGGGCGCGACACGGCGGGCTAATGCTCCATCAACAGCGCCCGCCGACCGACCGGTCAACGGTGACGGTGGCCGACTACCGGTACAGGCCGGTTCGCTGGTCACGGCCGCTTCAGTAGCTGCCGTGTTTAGATAGCCCTCAGTGACATCAAGTATGGGACGTTCAAGGCTGCCGACGGTTTTTTCGAGGGGTGTCTTGGGTATGGATTGTGACGTATTCTGCAATGGGATTGATCGGTGGGTGAAATGGTGACTGCCCTTTGGTTAATTTAGGTCGTTCTGTTGACCAGATGAACAGTGCTGATATGTTTATAGTCGCTGTTTTGGCTCGCTGACCGGTCGTGTCCTGGCTGAGTTTTCTATCGAGTTCTGCGCGGCTGTCGGCGGCCCCGGGCCGGGCCGATTTAGCCGTCACACCGCCTGCCGGCGCTGCAGCCAGTGCGGCAGATGGATGCCTTGTTTGCGGCCGCGCGCTGTACGCCTCATTGGGCCCGTCCGATAGGGACCAACTTCATCGCTGCATGAGTGATGGACGGCCGGCGAGCGGTGCTCCAAGTTCCGCCGCCGCTGTCGTCGGCCCGTCGAGCTGGCTGCACCGCCGTGTGCGACGGGGAGGTATTTTTGACGGAGCCTGCAGCGGGCGTCTCCCGAAACAGCAGCGCGACCGCCCGGTTGCTACCGGGAAAGTGGCGACGGCGTGCGCTGGAGACTCGACCGGTAGCTGGGAGGGAGGTCGGGTGATCATGAGAACTTGACTCATGAGGCTGTGACTCATGGATCGCAACGCACAAACTCTGGAGTACGGTCATACGAACTCATGAGCTCGCTGCCGTGACTTGTCTGGGACTGCGACATTCTGCTCCACTGAACGATGCGCTT